GGGCTCTGAGAAATGAACTGACTTGTGCAGGCCACTAAACTAGTCAGTAGGGTAGCCAAGACGGGGGCCCACCACAGTCGACCCCAAAGTCAAGGCTCTTTGGGGAGAGGAGTAGGTATGCAGGGAACAGATGACCACTGCTTCTCCTTGCCCCAAGGCCTGGTTCCGGTCACACTCCGCCTTCCTCCCGGGCTGGCGGACTCCACTGGCGATCAGACGGTGGCAGCGTAGACAATGGCGCTCTGTCCTGGGTGCTCCGGCACGACAGCTCATCCCTATGCAGTGACCGCCTCCCCCACCCAGGCCGGGCCGCCAGCCCCTTTCAGGCTGTGGAAGCCAGGGCGGCGGTGGAGGGGATTCTCACAGGCGGTTGGGCATTTGCATAGCCGGCTCGCCCGCCCGGAGACATTGGCCCGCATTGTTCCCGGGCGGCGGTGTTGGCGGCGGCGGCGGGCGCACTGGCCCGGGCGGGCGCGCGGGGCGGCGGGCCGACCGGCTGGGAGCGGGCGGGCCAGACAAAGGCGAAGGGGCGCGCAGAGCCGGGAGGCGGCGGTGGGGGATCCCGACGGTGGGAGCAGAATATCGGGGTGAGGTGGGGGGACGCGGCTGCCGAGTTTGTCTGCCCCTGGACGGCCACCGCCCCGCACTGTGGACACCCACGCCGTGTCTAATTCCTCCCCGAGTTGGGGCCGCCGCGCCCGTGATGTGAATCCCAATAGCGGGGATCTCAGACCTTTCCCAGGCTGTGCGGGGTCCGGAGCGCGGGGTCCTCCAGAGGTCAGGGAGCAGCTCCCAGCTCCTGGCCCAGGGGGCTCTGGCCACAAAGGCGCTGAGGCACCCGGAGGCCCCTGGGGGACCTTGGGCCTCCTATCCAGATGTCCTCGGGCAGGAAACCCAAACAGTGGCTGCTTCCAGAAAGCCTTCCCTCAGTGCCTCCGGTGACCCCAGAGCAGTCTGCCTCCCCCCTTCAGTCTTCTCTGGGAGGCAAGCAGGGGCCATGTCCTCGTCCATCATTGTCCCCAGAGATCAGGCATTGGGGCTGGACAGAGTTCATGAGCAGGCAAGTGTCCAATTGTCCTGCATGAGAGTAATAATGGTGGTGATCAGAGGGGCTGTCCCTGAAGGGCAGAGGCCTCATTGTCCTGAAGGGGTGAGCCCTCTTGGCCCCTGTCCCTGCCGTCTCCTTGACCTGCTCATTGTCACCCTGTTGACCTAGCCTGAATGGATGGGCCACCATGTGGGGACCAGTGATGCTGAGGTAGGGGCTACATAGGGAAGAGTGGGGGACGAGCTTGGTCTTATTTGAGCAGGGGACTCCAAGGAGCACCGTCTTTCTGGCCCTCTGAGCTTCCTGACTGACATCAGTGAGGGGATGATCACCCACCCCACCCCACGCCAAACAGCGGCTCCTTCCTGTGAGATGGAACAATCTATGGAGGGCCCACCGTGTGCCCAGCACTAGAGGCAAAGTATGGGGAGGGAGTGGAGGAAATACAGAGTGAAAGGCCAAAGGCCTAGTTTAGGAGAGTGCAGCCCTGAGCAGAGTCCCCTGAAGGAGAATAGGACCAGGGTGCAGGGGCTTGTGTTATGCTAGAGCTCAGCGTCATTGCTGTGTCACCACGGGAGGCTTCATGGGGGTCATGGAGCTTGGCACTGTCTGGCCACAGGATACACAGGGCCACCTCTCGTGGGCCAGCCCTCACCCCGACCCTCCTTTCTGAGGGATATTTTGACAGGCCATCCTTGGACCTGTAGCCTGTGGTCCCTTGGAAGCTGGTTGGGCAATTGTCCTCTCCCAAAGAGGGTTCATTTGTCCCTTCTCCAAGAAGCCTCCCTGGATTGAGATGCCCAGCTGCTCCAGCCCAGGTTTGTCCCCCAGCAAGGACCAACCTGGGCTGGAGCTGCTCATTTTTTCAGCCCTGGAAAAGACTTTGTTTTAGTCAAGAAGGAACCAGCAGTAGAGTGAGAAGGTCAGGTTGTAAAATGTTGGTGCCATGAATAAATGAATATGTGCAGCTTTTCCCACCCAGAATGGGCTTGGGGCAGGGAGGGTCTCACCCTATCCTTGAATGCCCCCTTTCCTGAGAGTCTTCTTTTAGGTCTCTGTTTGGGGACTGCTTGGGGAGCTCTGGAGGGAGGGCAGGTCAGCTGGCTGGACCCAAGCAGGGCCTCAGTTCTCCCAAAGTCTCTCCCTCTATTGCAGCAAGGCCTGCCAGTGACTGGGAACCTTTTTGCAATCTCAGCAGTCATCCAGTCTCCTCTCAGCATGCCTACTCCAGCCAGCAAAGGGCAGGAGGCTGTGGAGGAAGGAGGGGAGCTGCAGGGACAGAAACATAGGTGGGCCCTGTGAGCAGGATGGCTCCATAGAGGGCTCTCCTTGCTCCTCCCCTTCTCCTTCCCTCTGTGCTTGGCCTCTTGACCCACCAAGCTCAGCCCCTCCAGCTGTGATGAGGACAGAGCCCCGATGGGGTCACCTTTTGCCCTTGTCCCAGGGATATGCCCCAGGAACCCCACCATTTTGCCTCCTTGGGCTCCTAGGTCTGAATAGTCTTGGTCTGGGGCTGAGATGTTTGCAGTCATGCTCAACTCCTGCCAGAAGCCTGGGGTAAGGGCAGGAGTGGCCAAAGGGGGCTCCAGTCCACTGGAGGGATGGATTCTCTGCTGGAGGAGAGACCTGAAACCCCCAGCATCCTCATGACATGTAGTGGGCGGTAGAAGCTCAGAAAAGACTTGTGACATGAATGCGTGAGGACCAGAGCTGAAGCAGACAGGAGTGGGGTTAGGCTGTTGGAAAGACTTCCATGTTTGGCAGAGGACCGAGGAGGGGCATGGAGGCTGCATCTTCCTTTGCTGGGTCTGGAGCGCCCTCTAGTGGTCTAATGACTTCAGGCCAACAGAGGGCAGGTGTCTTCCTCCTCTGCCACAGCCCCAGTCCACACAATGAATGCCCTTCCTGTTCCCTACTCCTCAGTCTTGGGACAGGGACATACAGTGGAACCTAGGTGATGGATGGCTGCTTCCAGCTTCTGAGAGTTGGTGGCAAACTCATGTCCCTCTTAGGCATAAGAGGGACATACTTCTTCCTACTCTGCCCAGAGGCTACCCCAGGGAGGGTCAGAGTAGCAGCACTTCTGGAATAGGAGAACTCTCCAGCAGCCCAGGCTGTCCTATAACAAATACAGGTTTTCTGAGAGAGAATAAGTTCCCTGTCCCCGGAGACAGGCAAGCCCAGGCTGGGCACTCACCTAGTAGGACATGGCATCCTAGAGTTCCACGGACCCAGGGAGGCAGGATTTGTCACTACTAAAGTCCTTTCCTGCCTTGAGGTTTTAACATTGCGAGTTAGAAGGAAAGAGGAACTTCCCATGCTCCCAGGGCACAAATAAAAGGAGTCAGAGTCCTTAGTGACAGTGGCATTTATTACCCTCAAAGAGCCAGGCCTGGCTTGGGCTTCACTATGACCATGTGATGCTAGGTCAGTGGATCAGTGGTCACTTAGGTGCCTCACCTTGGCCCTTTCTACCCACCACGGGCAGGCTGGTGCAGCAGTGGTGGGGCCTCATGAGGTTCTCCCCCAAGTTATAGCCCCCTCCAAGTATATAGCATCTCCCAGCCTTCTATCGTCCCCTCTCCTGGGAGACTCTGCCTACGGAAGGAGGCTGCTTCTAGCTCATGAATCCTTTCTGCAACAGGAGAAACGGGAGCTAGAAAAGGACTTCCCAACAGTGGCCAAATCATCTTCTAGCAGGAGCACATCCTCTGGGGGCAGGCAGCAGGTTAGGCCTGAGTGTCGGGTTCCTCCACCCGAAGAGGCTCCTGGGCTGTATCCTCCATGCTCCCCCAGGCACCTGGAAGGCAGGAGGGGGTGGCGGGGGTAAAGGGGCAGCTCCAGGGGGGTGCACCCTAAGAGAGGAGCCAGGCAAAGAAGGAAGAAGGCAGGTTGGGCCACAAGGAGGAGAGGCAGGGAAGGGAGGGTCAGAGGGTGAGGGCTGCAGCTGTGCCTCACCTCCCCAGTAAACCTGGTCCTCGTAGCACTGGAGTCTGAGGGGTAGTCCAGGCAGGGCAGCTTCAGCAGCAGCCCTGGTGTTGGTAGGGAAGGAGGATATGCTGAGGCTTCTCCTCGTCTACTGGGGATATTTCTACCCACACTACAGGGCATAGAGGGGCTGGGATGCATGAGGTCAACATGGTGGCCTGGTGCAGGCAAAACCCCAGCCTGTATTTGTTGAGCACCTACTATGTCCCAGGCCCTGTGCCAACAGCTTGCCCAGCACTGCCTTCCTGAGAAATCACAGCAACCCTGCAAGGTGAGATTATTCCTGTATACAGACAAAGAAACCAAGACTCCAGAAAGTTAAATAATTTGCTCAAGTTTCTACTTGTC